GACGGAGTCATGATCATCCCCAAAGTTTCAACATCTGAGACCCTCTTATCTTTGTAATTAAAACAAGAAGTATCTTTTAACTTTAAACATTGTCAATTGTACGATATTGGCACTCCTTTTAGATACAAAAAAAAAGAGATATCAATTGCTATTCATTTTTTATAATGTTCTTTGCATATAACAAATTTAACTTTCTACCCGCATATCCCAAAGAGTGAGAGAATTGCAGGACACAGTTGTTTGCCGAGGGACAACAACTATTTCAGTAGTATGCAAAAATACAAACGATCTGAGCGACTTTACATGGCAAACAAAACCACACTCCCTCCTGTAACCTAACACATGTTTCTTCCCTCTATAGAGGACCAAGAGCAAACCAAATCTGGGGCTGCAAAAGGCTGAAGGGATTCCATTAATCACTAAGCTAGGTTCCAATTCCAAAATGGTTCTCTATTGGTTCAAGTAGAACTCACCAAACTTGGCCAACTAAGATTTTGAGTGATTGTCACAGCTAAGGTTTACCCTCATTCCAAAGGTACGCTAGAAACATTAACCTCCTAATAAAACAATAACACATGGCAAAAGCTTCCTCGGAACAGACATAAATAAAAGAAGAACACAACCCAGATTGAGAGGATAGGAGCATAAAACCAAAACAAAACATTAAGTTGAAGCACTAAAAGTTAAGCAGAACGAAAAAACTATTTAGAGGAAAGGAACCCTGAAGGGAGAAACCTCAAAGAGCCACCGGGAGAGTTAATAAAGAGCTTAATGTCCTTTTTAGGATCCTGAGCATCCAACAAGAGCAGCTGACTGATAATGGCGTCAGCCACGAAGTCGTCGATGTTGCTTCCCAAGAAGACAATGCGCTCCCTTAGAAGAAGGCCCATAGCATCACCCTCAGCCCCCCGCATGGCCGTGGCGGGTGTCTGCAGAGCGGAGGATTCCCATGAAAGTGAGTTGGTGAATTTAGGGATTGAGTTGGATTTGGTGAGTGGCGAGGTTTTGAGAGACGACGAAATAGGTTTCCAGAAGAGATTGGATTTGGAGGAAGAAAGAGTTGGTTTAAGAGAGACTATGTGCGGGGTTAGAGCTGAAGATAGCGAAATCATTTCCATGGCGTTTATGGGGGAAGAGGAAGGGGGATGGAGGGGAGTTTGGGTAAGGAGTTAGAACCCTGATCAGTAGTATCATTATGATATATTTGTACGGAATTTAATAAAATTATATATTAGCCAAAATTACAATTTTACGATTAATATGATATTTATTTACTTTTTAAAAAAATAACGAATATATCCACTTTTATATATTAGTATGTAAATGTTGGCTTTCATCACAGAAGTCTAAAGTTTAGTAAGCATTTTTCTATTCGATTTAATTTTTTATGTATTGATTTATTGTAGTTATTTTGGCTAAAAGTTCATCCATTTTGAATATGTCTGTACTTGATTAAGCCAGTGTAATTAATATATTAATAAATTAAATTTTATGTTTAATAAATTAAATATTACATATTTTTAATGAATTTTATATTCATAATCTTTAAATAAAAGTATTAAAAATTTTAATAATTATATAACTATGTTAGCTGTAGCGCCCGGGAAATTGAAGAAGAAGAGAAAAAAAAGAAAAAAAAAAAAAAAAAGGAGGGCACGTCAGCAGTCCCGGCCAACCGGAACCTGCCACGTGGCAAGACCACGTCGATCCGGGACGGGCCACGTTGGCGATCCGCGTATGCGCGATCGAATTGTCCAGATCAAACGTGCGATCGGACGGCCCAGATGCAATCGCACGGACGGCCCAGATTCAATCAAAAACGGACGGCCCAAATTAAATCAAAATGGACGGCTGAGATCAAAAGGCAAAAGGGTATAAATAAGACCCCCACACCAGACCACAAAACCCTAGCCGCCTGCCCTCGCCGGAGAAGACGAACCAGAAGCCGGCCGCCGCCACCCGCCGCCGCACCGGAGGGATTTCCGACCGCCGATCGAGGTAAATTTCATACCCCCGACTCGTTTTTCCACACTGATTTCCCCTGTGGCCAAATTGGAGCCAAAATCCCGGCCAAAGGGCCGAAAAACACGGCCGAAGCCCAGCAGCGCCGCCGCGCCCCTCTTCGGTTTTTGCCTCCGATGAGGCCCTTCCCGGCCTCCGTTTAATGCAATTTTTATATCACCGTGATCACCATTCTTTTCTCTACAGGTTGATCGGAGCCGAATCAACAAAACACGAACTTCACCGGAGAGCCGCCGCACCCGAGGGCACCGCCGCCGGTAAGCTTCGGTTTTTCGTAATTTTTTTGCCCCCCGAGGGCCCTAGAGTTGTTTAATCGCAAGGATCGATGCAAGTGTGGCCGAATTCGGCCGGAAAAGGCCAAACCGAGGCGAATCGCCGCCGCAAGCGGCGGCGCCGTCGCCGGAGCACGGCGGAGCCGCCGTGCCGGAAATGCGATATTGGCCGAAAGGGCCCAGGGCCTAATTTGGGATTTTTTGGAACACGTGCAGGTACCAGTAGTGCGTTTCAGTTCCCCAGAAAAAATTCAGAGAAAATTAGGGACAGCCTGTAGGCGCACTGTGAAGCCGTGTTCGGACCCCGAAACGTGTAAGGACCCCTCACCCTATTTCCTATCACGGTTTTAAAGTTCAATAAATGATAAAACGGTATTTCATGAATCAACGAATGTGTGAAATTGATTAAGGTCGCTAATGGAGCCCGAGTCTAGTGTGTTTGTCGGTTAACTGTTATTTGGCCTGTTTTACAGTTTTAAATGCAGTCTGAGGTTTGATGTTTTCATTTTATAGTTTCGTGTGTATATTGTACTGTTTTATTGATTATGGATTGAATGACTGGGATATTGATGTTGTATGTTGTCTGTTTGGCATAAATTACTGTTTTGCTTGTTTGTATGTGGATTGATGATGCTAACTGAGGGAAAAGAGAATGATAGATTATGTAAATGGAAAATTGTATAATGTGGTCAGCCTGACTAGATATCCTGGGAGATGGTGGACGGACCGGGTCCGTAGGGAACCCTACCGGGATTGTGGTCTCCCATACCGGACGGGGTATGGAGATCTTATGTGTTTTGGCGCCCATACCGGACGGGGTATGGGGACGGCCCGTTTCACCCTCATACCGGACGGGGTAATGAGGTCTATAGTTTTGGCGCCCATACCGGACGGGGTATGGGGACGGCCCTGGAATATGATTTCAAGTGTTAAGGGTTAACGGGTAGCGGGACCCCTATGGATCCCCATGGATACTAGTGGGCTGGTAAAAAAGGAAAATATGTTGTGTAACGATTGAATTACGAAAGGTTTGATAAGTATTATGTTATAC